AAATGTGTTTTCTAGGTGATACAACTACCAAGGCTTGATGGATTTAAAAGCCTTGTATTTTCTCAACGTTTGTTGGCTTACAACGAAACTTTTGCATCGGTGGGAAAATACGCAAAGATTCTTCCTGTGATAACATGTCTAGGGGATAAGTCGACTGCCTGACGTCACGCTACCGATATAACTAGCTGTTTACACCAAGTAATCGAGCAATTCAACAACTATGAGGAAATAATTTTCTGGCTGGACAACTGCAGCGCCCAAAACAAAAATTGGAATATGTTCCAACACATGATACTTCTGCTGAATTCTAAAGCTGTTAGTGTTAGGAAAGTTTCGTTCAAGTTTTTCGAAACTGGACATACGTTCATGGCTGCAGATAGCGTACATGCTGCCATCGAAAAAAGCATGCGCTATAGTAAACCAGCTCAAACATTTCCAGATTTTTCAGCATTGGTCAAAAAGGCCAAGAAAAACGTGGAGGTAATGATCATGAAGTTCAGCGATTTTTTCTGCACGAACATAATTAATTAATTACGTAATTAATCAGTGCAAACCAGTGTAACCAGATTTCAGTCTAGAATTGCCAATATCGTGTGCAAGCACTGATCTAAATTAAACAGGAGAAACAACAGTTGCACATTCCGAGTAAACACGTTGGTAATTTTTCCAGTCGAAAACCACGGATCTGTTAGACCGTGTTTTGTTTTCAATTGGAAGAGTATCATGACACATGACGTGTACTACATAATCATCCATGTTCTCGTTTTCGTTCGAACTGCTTTTCGATACATTTTATTGTATTTTTTTTACGGTTCTAACGAAAATAATAATATGGTTGAATATATCAGCTTTCAATTTTCAGTATCCAAGATCTCAACCAGGAAGCCAGTCTGCACTTTCTTGAACCATGGTCTGAGCTCTGTTCAACATCGAGCAACTGTACCTGTGGCTACCTCGCGCTGACGTTGACAAAATGACCAATATTTGGTGTGGTCGTCTACCCGGAACTATGTAGAAATTTCAAACTTAATCTCTGAGTGATTTAATTCGTCAGGTATTTCACGACAATGTCCTACTCGCAGATTGCTTTTATCAATGAAACACCGCAAGGTTGTCTTATATTGAATGTTTCTGATTTGAGGAACTAATCGTGCACGAGATGGAAGTGAAGAATCTTAACGAAGTTGAAAGCATCCAAAAGAGTGGCCGAATTCAAATGTAAAGTTTCGGTGAAAATTCAGGGGAGCAACCTGCAGGAGAAGCAAGACCAATTAAAGATCGAAATCGAACATTTCAATGCAAGAACTGAGACGCTGATACCATTCTACCTAATTGAAATACGAATCATTTTGTGTTAGGATGCCGTATTCTAAAAACAATATACATATAACAGCATAAATCTGCAATATTGTAAACAAGCTTATAAGCAATTTCGGTGTTTATGTCAACCATAGCTCAAAATTAAACGAGAGGAGTTAAAATTTAGAATTGGTTTCTTTGTATGTAAAAGTTGTTAAAACTGTGTCGATGATGTCATCATGTAATTTATTTATCTTACACGATAGGTAGACGATTTAGCGGCTCATTAGGTAGATTTGAATTGACGATAGGTAGACGATGTGACTGCTCGTTAGGTAGATCTTGGCGGGACTTTTATTCGCAGGCATTTGATCAGGGGGAAATAAGTGTGGTGTTCATAAACGAGAAGGCAACGTAACATACGTTACTTAGCTAGCTCACCAAGGGCAAAATCTACGAACCCCCTGTCAAACTTTTATAGCGAATCAAAACAAACATAGTGTAGTACTAGAATTTAGACTAGAATGGAGTACGTTAATCGATTTGCTTGGGACCAATAGGCTAGTCAAGTAGTTAGCCAATTTAAAATCGTTAGTTTCGTATTGATTGTTGGTACTACCAACTACGAAATTGACCGTTAAATGCTTGTTCGATGAACAACTTGCGAGTGTTATGTCTGTTTGTCGGTGATTAACATATTAGTTGACAGTAGCAGAATTATCTAAGTTAAAGCACGTGAATTTAATTTGGGATCCAACAATGAGCTAAAAAAATGGTTGCGCAATAGATTTATAACTACATAACTCGAGTAATTCAAAGCAGTTTCAATCGATGATATTGATCCGATGGGAGATTGAAATTTTTGCGTAGCAAACTTTTGACGTAGAGAAAACTGGCCAAAAACATCAAACGAAATGATTTTGACCTGGGACATGGAGGCTACTGAAAAACTAGGTTTACTGGCTTATTTAGGGTTAACGGTAATGGAAAACCTCTAACTAATTTTCTGTTGTACGATTTTTCTTCAAATACATTTTCCAAGATAATATTGCGCATTGCACACATTATAAGTACATATGATTATAAGTGTGGAAACGCTTATGAATGTGCTCTGTTCATAAGGAATAAGTGCGCCAAAGACACCAAGACAATACAACGTAAAAGCGCACTTTTATAAGCGATTCCGCACTTTTGAGGACTATCAATTTCGTTTCATCCTAACCACAATAAACTGTCGCCGTTGCCTACTAATGCTAGTAGCTCAGTGGCAAAGCACTTAATTTTTGCTATTCATCACTACATATCAGCACATTCGTTAGTATGTTAATCAACCATTTACATCACTACCCACCGAGTTCAAGGAAGAACGGTGGTTTTGTCATTAAAAAAGAAATGTTTTTAAAAAGTAATTATCAGGAAATGTGTACTGGGATCTCTAATAAAATATACATGGTTGTTTTTCTTAACGACGTGCTCAAGATACCATCCAAACAATTTGTGGAATAGTCCTATCATCTGGGTTATCGTCCGGATAAGCTATTTTTATTAGGGAAGAAATAATATCTATGTATTAATTTCTAGTCAGAATGCTTTGTTTGGCCCGATATTTCGATTTAACTACAACTGAAAATGATTCAAGTATTGCAATATAGCATTTTAGATCACGTCATGTTTCTGTAAAACAAATTTTCAAATGTACTGCTTCCATAAGCCTAGTATCAACAATCAATACGAAACTAACGATTTTAAATTGGCTCACCACTTTAGTAGCCTATTGGTCCCAAGCAAACGATTAACGTACCCTATTCTAGTTGAAATTCTATTACTACACTATGTTTGTTTTGATTCGCTATGAAAGTTTGACAGATAACATCAGGGGTGTGTGGATTCATGCAGAACATGCAGGGGTGAGTGAAATAGCTTGGGACTGCTTGGGACCGTTGTTCTGGTACTGAGTGAGCCAAAAATAATAATGATTTTCTTCGGGACCCAGTGGTCTTAGAGTTACCTCTATGCTAGTATATAGTTCAAGCGAAGTGAAAAATACTGAAATTTCGCTAGTGAAAAATGGTTGTGGAACATTTTCTAATTTCCCCTTTCCGCCATCTGTTCCGTGAAACGAAATCGATCAGTTTTTATTTTTTAGATTTTTTAGCCGTAGGCTAGTTTATCTCGTAAAAAAATGAAGTGAAAATTTGACAGGTACGCTCTTTCCCGAAACTTAAACTTTTCGCTTAGCTGTTATTCTTTTCACGAGCAGCTACACGGCGAATGAAAACGACCCAAATTTGAGTTGAGTTCACTCAAAATCGCCAAAAGTGCAGAAACACAGCGATGAGTAAATATGCCTCATGGTTTCCTGTGGAAAACTTCAAAAATCTGACGGAAAATGAGAAAATTTAGACTGCGTGAATCCAACCCTTATAAAAATAACCATAATAGAGAGTAATGACGTGTTCCGGGTATCATCCAAACATTTGTGGGATAGTTGACCCATCCGGAAAACAGTTCGTTTATGGTATTTTTTTATTAGGGAATCTTTACTTTTCTCATATTCAGGAACCCGCATAAGCGCGAACCATAAATTGACCTTACCTAAAATGGTTATAAATTGTTTATCCCTTATAAAAAATAACCATAAACGAACGATAACCCAAATCATTGAACTATTCTACAAATGGTTTGGATGATACCCAGAACACGTCGTTAAGCAAATTAACCATATAATTTTTATTAGGGATACTCCCTGCTAAACTTCAACTGAAATGGTTATGGAACTTTACATGAACGTTTAATGATAAAGTTTTAACCTTAAGTATTATAGTTTTTTGGAAGTGGACCTTACAAATAATGGGTTGTTAAGAACCATTACCATTCAAAATTCTTGTTTTCTCCATACATTTTCGGAAAGAAAACTATACTAAGACCTTTTAACTTATGGTTTGAGAACATTAATGGTAATGGTTATGGTAACCAGTAAGGTCCATGAATGGTTTTGTAACATCGATCAACTTTATGTGGAATATATCGCGAATTGGTTGCCTGTAAATTACTGATTACCAATTCACGATATATTTCACGTAAAGTTGAGCGATAATACAAAACCATTAATGGAACTTACTGACTACCATAACCATAACCATTAATGTTCTCAAACCATAAGTAAAAACGTTCTAATATAGTTCTCTTTCAGATAATGTATGGAGAAAACAAGAATTTGGAATGGTAATGGTTCTTAACAACCCATTATTTGTAAGGTCCGCTTCCAAAAAACCATAATACATAAGGTTAAAACTTTATCACACAAACGTTCATGTAAAGTTCCATAACCATTTCAGTTGAAGTTTAGCAGGGATTATAAACAATTTATAACCATTATCGGTAAGGTCATGTGATGGTTCGCGTTTATGCGGGAAGTTTTCCTGGACAAACCTGGACGTTCAAACAAATTTACTCATCGCTGCACTTTATGTGATTTATGAGCTAAGTAAACTCAAATTTGGGTCGCTCTCATTCGCCATGCATCTCTATTTAACTCTCTGTTTAGTTCTTTAGTTTTGTTCTCTACGATCCGTAACTTTGAACATTCGTGGACCCCTCGATTCATACCCTCCACATGCGTTACGAAACTTAACGAAAGCATACAGTTGTGAAATTGATTCAGCGGCACCGGCATTCCGTCTTCATCGTTTCATAGGATCGGACGTAAACATTTATTGCTCCGTTTAGCAGTGGTGATTCATTTTTTATTCAGTGAAAGATACAGTTCAGAGCACAGGTCTGAGAAAATTGAAAGCCAAAGCCATCATCGGACGCCATCTTCGCCAAACGCCGCCGCCCGTTCTGCATCGACGAAGCTCGCTCATTTTCGACGGTAACCCTTTTCAGCCACCACAAAACCAATTATTTCAACGTTTTTTCGATCAGAACCGCTTTACGACAAAACTCTTCAGTTCTTTTTCCGTAGTAGTGAAAATTATTGATTTTTCATTCTCTGCAACGAAACCGTATAAGTGCTTGTGCGTGCCTTGTTGAAACAAAGAACGACGCCATATTGGAGATCTAGTGAAACCAAAAGTCTGTGGAAAATTATTCTTCGTGTTCAAAAGCAGTCCTTAGTCAACGATAGAAAGTCGCTCTAATTTTCTTCGATTTCTTCGCTTCGCTAAAATCGCAATTCAATGGATTTCCTTTGCATAATCGGCGATTTCACCAATTCTGGTGAATTTCTTCGTTGGCGTCGTTTTGAGCTTCTTCATCAAAAATTAAAAAGCATACATTTGGCTCCGAGTGATTCATAGCGTATTAAGAGTAGTTTCAAACCGTCATCGGCTAAAAATAGTATTTTTCCTGCTAACCGAGTAATCCTACGGACGAGTGAAAATCGCATCGCCATCTTGCTACTGCGTCAAACGAAAAATCAATATTTCTCCGAGCTTAACATGCTAGAAGAAGAAACAAGACACGATCACGCAATACGAAATTTGTGATCTGGCATGGCTTTTCCATGCGAGAAACCACATTTAGTTGTTTGAGCTAGAAAATTGCATGGATTTTATTTATTTTATGTTGAACCCGCCACTAATGTTCTTTTTCGGTGTACCTGCCCTGGAACACTTCCTTCGTGTATTGTCATCTTATATCACATGATTCGATATAAATTTACAAAATCATCTTTGAATTCCTTATTTCCTCCAATTTATGTTACAAAGTTTAAAATAATATCTTCGATATAAATGTATCGTGCTTCAATTATTTATCGTTGTGGTTCTTGTAAGCCCTTTCTTTCGACTCAAGCAAAAATGTTCATCTTGTAAAAATCTGGAAACTGCTCAACCTAAAAAGTCAGTTTCATTGCGTTTCCGTTCTAGCCTGCAATCGAATATTGTTTCACATCCGCGCACTAAACACCATCTTAAGCCAACAAGAAAAAAAAACTAAATGGCGACCACATCTGATTAGAAAATCCTACTTCACACATCGAATAGCTACGTTTCCTCATCTACGCTTTCAACTCCGATTCTTCGTATCTATATAACCGCCTTTTACCTACAATTCCTACTATTATATGCAGTTTTATACTTCAACTATTTATTTTCGATTACCACCAAAAATCCTGTCGGAGAACCACGTTCTACGACACACAGAATGTTTTGTTTGATATAGTACACACATTTACCAAATCGAATATCAAAAATGTCTACGACGCATGTGTTAACTGAAGCATCATTGCAAGCAAAAGAGTAGCTATCAAATGCAAACCTCTAGTACTGTTACTTCGCCGCAAGAGTAGAAGCATACGGATGATGCTAACAGTAGAGACAATTCAGTTACACATTCATCGAGCCTATGTTCAACACCAACCAAAAAAAAAAATCATAAACCATATCTATCTGAGTAACTTATTTTGCTACGAACCACTATTCTGATCAATTCCACAGTAATCACATTCTACGAAACCGACGTATATCAGCGCAACGTCGACAACTACGCAAGGCACGCCACGCACACTCGTCGATTGAAAAGTTTGAACAGTAAAAATGAGCGAAGACAAGGGCACTAGGGTCTACGTCGGCAACCTCACCGAAAAAGTGCAGAAGGAAGATCTCGAGGGAGAATTCACCAAGTACGGTAAATTGAACTCTGTTTGGGTAGCTTTCAATCCCCCAGGTTTTGCGTTCATTGAATTCGAAAACAAAGAGGAAGCCGAGTCGGCATGCGACAACTTGAACGGCCAGGATATCCTCGGTTCCAAGCTACGTGTGGAGATCTCCAAGGGCCGTCGTAATTCCCGTGGAGGCTCACGTGGTTTCCGTGGTCCACCAGACCGTTCAGGCAGTAGCGGCGGTTTCCGTTCCAGCTCTCGTGGTGGCTTCCGCGACGGAGGTGGCTACCGTAATGGAGGTAGCAGTGGAGGATTCCGTGGTGCAAGCCGTAGCGGAAGCCGGTTCGATAGCTACGGAAGCACTCGCTCCAGCGGTGGATCTGGTGGCTACAGTCGTGATTCGGGTCGCGATAGCTACAGCAGTGGTGGCTTCGGAAGCAGCTATGGTGGCGGTCGAAGCAGCGGCGGCGGCGGTGGACGATTCCGATCAAGGTCACCGGTTGGCGCCCGTGGTAGATACTAAGTGTGTAGCATTTATGCTGATTGAGCTGCTGTATCTCGTTTTATGCGGCGTAGTATTTCCACCTAAAATAAAACGTCATATACTACTTTAAACATAGATGCAGTTGTTCATGCGCGACCTTATTTATTTTACTGGCAACGATTTCCTGTTTTCGTTCACTCGATGGCGATAGAGAATGGCATTTGAAAATATCTCGTAAAAAAGTTATAGTATCAATTCCATAGCAAAAATGTATAGTGAGTCTCGGAATTTCGTGAAAATTGGTATAGTTCTTCCTTATCAAAAATTATTAGACTCGTATTTTTTATGCCACCATTAGGGTGACCATTTCCATGTAAAAAGGAATAAATAAAAAGATGTTTTGGACCACACTAACTCGGAAATGATCACCCTAATGGCGGAATAAACAAATACGAGTCTATAATTGTTTGATAAGATAAAACTCGAGGTAGAACTATATCAATTTTCACGAAATTCTGAGCCGCATTATAACTTTTTTCTATTAAATTGCTGATAGATAAGTTAGACCCCACAGAAAGATCCCCATTCAAATGCTCCTAGGACAATTGTTTAGACGATGCCACTAATGTAATTTTTGGAAGGGAGCATATTTTGAGATTCGCCAAAAAGGAAACTGTTTTGTACTGTTTTATATGTGTTTTAATATATAAAATAGCTGAAGCAAACCTTAACAAAACCTGAACGACAAAAATGTCCACATGACTAAATCGTTCGCACTAAACTGAATTCATTAACTTTTGTGTTAATCCAAAACGTGTATAAATCGGCAAATAAAACATAAATGAAAACTACATGATTTAAAAAAGAAATGGATGGAAACAAGTGAAACGACGCCAAATTTACTCCTGTTCGAAATTGAAGTCCAAACAAGTGGTGCAATATCTTCTGAAGGAGAGAAACTTTAGAACGCGATTATCGCGATAACAGTTGGAGAAACCCGTTGTATCTTCGTCCAATGCCTGAATAAGCAGATAGACAGACACACACACACACATAATGCATGGTTGTTTTTACTGTGCAACACCACACACCTTTCCTGACACATGAAAATGAGTACATTTATCTGAGTTATTTTAAGAGAATAGATGAAAAATAAATCCATATAATCACTTAATCTCCGTTTCGCATTAGTTTTTTTTTAATTGATGACACCTAGACTGATAACTGATGATTATATACTTGCGAATCAAAACAACACAAAGCTTGTCCAATTCATCTTAACGTTCGTTTTCCATCATACAATTTTCTTTTTGTTTATAGCACATTGTGTTTGGTAAATGTTTCAGGAACTTTTGAAATGGTAAGTATTCAATTCTGCAACTTCATTAGGTATTCGCATCCTTATTCGCATATCACTGTCTCCTTAGAATAGAAAAAGAAAAAGCTCTGATGAAACGGAAATACAATTATGAGCAGTAACATCTTGAGGATTATAACACAATAAAGTTAGTGTAATGGGCTACCTAACAAACAATTTGAGCTGGCTAAAAGCTGAATAAGCCACTTTTTAGCTGAAGAAGTCCATGTTTGCCCGAATAAGCTCTTATTCAGCATTAAATGATTGTTGGGTATACTATCATTTATTGCCCATTCGACTAAAATCCGTTGCGAAGCTTTGGCTTGCTTCACTTTTCTCTTGCTTCGCAATTGGAAAGGCCCTAACGCAATGAAGGCGGATGCGGCAAGTTTAACAGTTGTCACAATTGACATCAACTTGCATAAATAAATAGGTAAGACCATTGAGTATCATTACTGATATATTTACCATATCGTGGGACACTTCACTTCCAGTTGATGCAGTGTGCTTTTGTGTTATTTCAACCTTAAGGGTGTATCTTTGTTTTTCGGATTTTATCTTATTGCTCTGAAATGATCCACGATTTTGCGGATCTTTTGAGTACTTTTCATCATTGTGATAATGCGCCTTGTTTAATTTATATTAAATACTAGCTGAACCCCATGCGAGCGTTGCTACGCTTGCAACTAAATGAACGAAAATTTATTACAATATTTATGCAGAAATTTCTGTTTCATTTGTATGGGAGCCCCTCTTTACAGAAGGGGGGGGGGGGTCTCGAACCAGCATAAGAAACATTTCCGGCCCCAAAAACCCCTGCAAACAAATTTTCGCGCCAATCGGCTCAATAGTTTTCGAGTCTATAAGCACAGACAAACAGACGTAACTCTTTGAAAAACTTGTTCTTGAAAACATAGTATCTCAAAACATATAACCTCAGTAACGCCATCTCTCTGGCTTCTCGCGGAAAACAAGCTTGCTCGCTATCTCGTAAACAATATTGCATAAAAGTTCTATAGAATATATAGAAACGTCAAAGTGATCCGATGCCAGCGCCGCGGCGAGTAGTTCGCGGAACTGACAATATTCAAATCAACCGTTAAACAATGAAGAGTTACGTCTGTTTGTCTGTGCTATAAGGGTCAGACAGACAGACAAAAATTCATTTTTATGTATAGGGGAAATTGATGTAATGTCGGCCTAAATGCCCCTAATTTGGGCAATTCTGCAATCGTCTAAATTAGCGACCAAAAATATCGCGCAGTGATGAAAAAAAAAAACGAAATCATGAACGGCCGAAAATCACTGCTGATCTTGAGATCAGCAAAATCACAAACAGAAAATCACAGCTGATTTTTACCTTAGCTGATTTTGAGGTAAACAAATGACCAAACAGAAATTCAATACCTTCACACTTAAACAGAGACCCTGAGTTCGGTAAAAAAAATTACCGTCTTAGATCGGTAATGCTAAAAACTACAGATGTTTCGGTATTTTCTCGCTTTATTGCTGAAAACTGTAAATGAAATGACCGAATTTCGGTAATTTCATTTTAATTTACCGAAAACGGTAAACATTTTTACCGGCAGGTCTGTAAATCAGCTTCATCACAGACTTCGGTGAAATATTTTACTGAAGTTTCGGTAAACAAAGCGTTCCATTACTGAGTTCGGTAATGGTCTAGGTAAACGTCAAATCCACCATATTGTTATTTTCGATCAACTTTAAAAGCGTTCGTGCTTGTGAAAAATAAAAAGGTGAAATTATGGAGGCTGTTATTCAACACCAAAATGAGTGAATCGTGGATAATATCTAAATAAATACCGATTACAGATGGCCGATGTTGTTGCTTGTTTTTTCTGTCGGTCCAAGTTCCATTCCCGTTGGCGACGATCTGAAAACAGCATTTGGAATATTCTTCCAAAGCTTCTTTGTTTTCAGTGTAGCGCCGAATCCTTCCGTCATAAACGGTTTTGTTCATTGGTGGTGCAATTTGCAACACTAACTTATTGATCACGACAGCAGCCAAATTTTTACATGGGTTGCAGTGACTGCCACCTTGAAACAATATTAAAGCAAATTACAGTTGAGTCGGTTACCTTTTTATAAAATTACAGATCTCTCGGTAATTTTCGATTTGCATATCGTTCTCAAAATTACAGTTCTCCGGTAAAGTCGACTACAAATCAAGCAATGCACATCGGTAAACGTTACCGATCGTTCGGTAAATTTGACAGCTAATTTTGCTGATCCAGTTTACAGATTTTTCGGTAATGTTCTCGATTACCGAAAACATTACCGACCGTTCAGCTGTTGAGAATTCGGTAAATGAATTACCGAAGTCGGTGATTTTTTCTAAGTGTGTTGGTATTATAGTCAAAGTAAGAAACCGACATCCGCCGCACTTTTGGAATCCAAGATGGCGAACCAAAATCCAATATGGCGGCCTCCGGTCAGCGTATGTGCATCTAAACCCATGCAATTTGGGTATCTCCGGAATGAGCTCGATGAGTAGAAGCGGAAAACTGACGTAGCCTACGGGGTATGAAAACTAGTGAAAATTAAATTCGCACATTGAAAATCTCATAACCGGTAAGTAAACCCGTCTAGGTCTAGGTGCAACGACACCGCCGGGATCAATACTAACGCGGTGAAAATCATTCGTGCATCACAAATGAAGCCGAGAATGAACCGGAACCTACCGTTCACTCATCGTTGCAACCCAAGTAGCAGGAAATCATCGAAATTTTCGCCGGTGCCGGACACTACCGTGACCACATCAACAGCCTTTCCATCTCCAACAAGGTACTCGCTGGAATGACCTGGTGTGGGCTTACGCTGTATGTAGGCTTTTACCTATTGTTCCAAGACTATCTGGCCACCGTTCAAAATATGTGTTTGCCATTTGGTGGAAATACGATGTCACTATCGTAGCGTGAAGACCGACGATAAATTCTCTCCCATCTGGAACCGCATCACATACAGGGATTGGAAATCCTCCGATGGTGTAGTGATTGGTCAAACGGTCCACCGATATGATAAAGAAACGGGTGGCTTCACAGTTTCAGAGAAACGAGAAGACCGGATCAGATGAAGGGATATATCGTGTGAGGATTATGATGATGGTGCTCAGGACTAGGACATTACATTCTATTCAGGCAGATATTTATGCGGATCGTTCACTTGCAGGATATTTTATTATTGTTCAAAATGCGTAATAAGGCCTGTACTCGAAAAAAATGCACCAGACAAAAGTGTTCGCCAAAAATTTATTTTAAGTCGGATTTTCTTGAAACTTTCAGGGAATGAACTAATACATATGGCATAATTACTTTATTCAATTTCCTTTCCATCGCTGAAAGCCCGCACCTTTCCCTTAAGACCCCTCATTACATTTTTTGGTGAATTTGTCCACTTTCTTCTTCCTTATGTCTTCCGTGATTTGGCAACGTAGAACTCCAGCCCCGGTATCTGCTTTGCGTCTGCCTTGATGTAGGTTTCGTCATCCATAACCACACACATCGGTTTCGTTAACCACTCTCGATACAGCTTCCTTGCGCGGGATTTGGCCGCCGTGTTTTGTTGATCACGCCGGTTCGGTGCCTTTTGGACCTTGAATACACGAAGCCCAGCTCGTTTCATGATTTACTGAACGAACCAGGCGGAACCTTTTGCCTTCAGAGCCGCGTCGCGAATCGAAAGGTTCGGATTACGCTTGAAATAATCCAACACCTTCCGGGCCTTCACAGGGTCAGCTGCCTTCAATTTGCTTCCACTTCCAGCCCGCCACTCGGTCGTCTGGGACACCTCACCCGAGACTCAGTTGTGTGGGTGATTCCCAGTTGTCTTCCGATCCATCTCATGGTCGCAGTCGGATTTTCCATGACGGCGCGAAAAATTCTCCGGCGATTTTCTTCTTGTTTCGATGACATCTTAATAACCACTGAACCGATTGTTATGAAATTTTGCACATGTAAACAATTCACTCCAAAATAGTTATACACAGATTTTCATCAATTTTTTACCCACGGATAAAAAAATTACACACAGATAAAAATGGTGGATTTTTTTTTCGAGTACAAGCCTTAAATGTAGTTTTAACCCTTTGTATCTAAAAGTTCTATTATTTTTTTTAAAATTTAATATTCAATTGAAAGTGAATATACTTGTTTTTACCTTGAAAATATTTTGATTATTTTGATTACCTGTTGGATGGTAGATAAGAATTACAATTTCCCCGAGAGGGTAGATGAAATTCCCCCAAACGGGTAGATATAATGCCCCCCCTTCCTCAATTAAGGAGAGGGGAAGAATGTAGTAGATAGAGTTAAGGTGGAATAAATAATGAGTAGAATCAACAATCAATACGAAACTATCGATTTGAAATTGGCTCACTACTTGACTAGTAGACTGATGCAAAATTTGACTTTTTCGCTTCACAGTGCTTAAATGGTTTCAAATCGGGTCCTGACTAGCCTCCCAAAGTTACAACTCATTTGGTTAGAAACAGACTTCGCACAAGTCATTTGAAGTTTACATGTAAATTACTATGGGAAATCTCAACTTTTTGTTCATTGCCTTCTAGTCTTTTTCCATATTGAGCTGCGAAACAGTTCGACAGCCATTCTTATAGAAAATTTCCTCAGCTACAACTTTGCTGAAGATCGTTTCTATGTAAAACGAGACAGGAAAAATTTATTAATTATTTAAGAGATTGGTAAACTTATGACAAGATCAAGCAGCTGCTCTGTAGGCAACACTGTATTTTGCAGTGTGACATAGTAGTCATGATTTTTGTGTCCTATTCAACACCCCAGAAACACCAATGTTGCCTGCTGAGCAGTTGATTGAGCATGTTCATAAGACATTAGCGCATTGAACTATTGATAACTTTCGATTCTTGCATTTAATCAAAAAGTGGCCTTCAGCTAAGTTGTAGCTGGGAAAATTTCTTACAAGTACAGTTGAAAGCTTTAGAAGCAGACCGATATGGTGAATTATTAGATAGACATGAACAAAAATCTTGGTTTTACCATAGTAATTCCCATACAAACTTCAAATGGTTTGTGCCATCTCAGTTTCTCACCAAATGGGTTCAAATTTTGAGAAGTTATTCAGGATCCGATTTGGAATCGTTTAAGTATTGTGGAGCGAAAATTTCAAATTTTGCATCACTCTATTGACTAGCCTATTGGTCCCAAGCAAATATATTAACGCACCCCATTCTAGTCGAAATTCTGGTACTACACTATGTTTGTTTTGATTCGCTATGAAAGTTTGACAGATAAAATGAGGGGTTCGTGGAATGAATCGGGTGAATCGATTAGCTTGGGACCGAAGATAGTACCAGAGCTGAGCCAAAAACTTGAGCACTTTTCTTCGGGACCTACTAGCACAAACGAAGTGACAGACGGAGCGGCTCGAAAACTTTGGTGACTAACCTGCTATTGCAATTTTTCAGTGTACCGCATGGCAACACCACTACTACTGGATTGTACCACATGGCAACACTACTACCATACAGGTAACTTTAAGACCACTGGGTCCCGAAGAAAATCATTATTATTTTTGGCTCACTCAGTACCAGAACAACGGTCCCAAGCAGTCCCAAGCTATTTCACTCACCCCTGCATGTTCTGCATGAATCCACACACCCCTGATGTTATCTGTCAAACTTTCATAGCGAATCAAACCAAACATAGTGTAGTAATAGAATTTCAACTAGAATAGGGTACGTTAATCGTTTGCTTGGGACCAATAGGCTACTAAAGTGATGAGTCAATTTAAATTCGTTAGTTTCGTATTGATTGTTGCTACTACTAGATTGAACTAGCATTTACTCCAAATGTACTAGAATGTTTTGGTTCTATCTCTTTCACTCTACTCAAAACTGAAATGGATTAAAAAATGATAAAATGATACGCACTCTTTGCACACTGTCAAAGAATCATTGTACACAAAATCAACTTTGTTCAAATCATAACAAAAAAACTAACCCATCTGGTGGATGATGGCACAAGCTTCCAAGAAAATTCTCTTACAGTGAACCACATTATTCAAATGGATTTCTTCGCCAGTTAGTCGTCTGTCACTTCGTTTGTGCTACTAGCCTTACAGTTACCTCTATGGTACTGTCGTGACCGGTACTCAGTACTGTCAACCGGTGGAAACTAACGCCACTGGTTGACAGTACAGAGTTCCTGTCATCCCGTTCCTGCGAAAACGTCAGCGACGAAGACTGGGTGGTGGCGAGTGTGGCAGCATCGGTGAACATATCCGCCAGGTGACAACACTGAAGCAGCAGGAACACTTTAGTTGCATTCTCCAGTGTCACCGTCTTAAAATCTGCCGATGTAAGCAACTTAACCACTAGTTATTCATGTTCACACATATTCAATCACCCCTCGAAACATAGGAAAATCCACGAACCCCTCATTTTATCTGTCAAACTTTCATAGCGAATCAAAACAAACATAGTGTAGTACTAGAATTTCGACTAGAATGGGGTACGCTAATAGATGTATTTCACGGTGTTTCGCGAAAACCCATTAATGGGTATAAAAATACCCATTTCCGCTAAAAGTGCCCCTCCTCATTTAATGGGTAAACTATGGTTTACTCATAAATGGGTAAATGGGTGGTCTGTCAATAAATGGGTGTTTTTTCACCCATTTTCTTATATTGTGTTTACCGTAAAATGGGTGAAAAAATACCCATTTTTACAAATGGAGGATGCAAGCGATCGTTGATGTAAAAATGTTTTTAAAACATTGAAAATAAATGCAGATGTTCCGCTCAAATTTTTCACGAAACATTATAATACAAGTTATCCATTGTATTGACTTATCCGTAAGCCTCTCCAACGTTTTGGATTCTAACATTTTCCGGAGATCGTTGCTGCGGACAGTAACTGTTTGCATCGAGGTTTGCATTCCCAATGAGCCGGTGACGGAAATGAGACGATAAAGTTTCGAAGTGTTTTTTCACCCATTAATGGGTAAAAAATATACCCATTATTCAACCGTGAACTGATTCTTTAAATGGGTATTTTTTCACCCATTTTAGGATTTCAAAATTCCCCCATTTTTTGACAGCTGCATACATGGTTTGAAAATGGGTATTTTTTTACCCATTAATGGGTTTTCACGAAACACCGTGTTGGGACCAGTAGGCTTGTCAAGTAGTGAGCAAATTTAAAATCGTAAGTTTCCACCCGTTGGTAGTACGAAGGTACGAAGGACCCCTCGATTCATCCCCTCCACAGGCGTTATGAAACTTAACGAAAGCAAACAGTTGTGAAATTGATTCAGCAGCAGCGTCATTCCGTCTTCATCGTTTCATAGGATCGGACGTAAACAGTTATTTCTCCGTTTTGCAGTGGTGATTCATCTTTTATTCAGTGGAAGATACAGTTCAGAGCACAGGTCTGAGAAAATTGAAAGCCAAAGCCAACATCGTGCGCCATCTTCGCCAAACGCCGCCGTCCGTTCTGCATCGACGAAGCTCGCTCATTTTCGACGGTAACCCTTTTCAGCCACCACAAAACCAATTATTTCAACGTTTTTTCGATCAGAACCGCTTTACGACAAAACTCTTCAGTTCTTTTTCCGTAGTAGTGAAAATTATTGATTTTTCATTCTCTGCAACGAAACCGTATAAGTGCTTGTGCGTGCCTTGTTGAAACAAAGAACGACGCCATATTGGAGATCTAGTGAAACCAAAAGTCTGTGGAAAATTATTCTTCGTGTTCAAAAGCAGTCCTTAATCAACGATAGAAAGTCGCTCTAATTTTCTTCGATTTCTTCGCTTCGCTAAAATTGCAATTCAATGGATTTCCTTTACATAATCGGCGATTTCACCAATTCTGGTGAATTTCTTCGTTGGCGTCGTTTTGAGCTTCTTCATCAAAAATTAAAAAGCATACATTTGGCTCCGAGTGATTCATAGCGTATTAAGAGTAGTTTCAAACCGTCATCGGCTAAAAATAGTATTTTTCCTGCTAACCGAGTAATCCTACGGACGAGTGAAAATCGCATCGCCATCTTGCTACTGCGTCAAACGAAAAATCAATATTTCTCCGAGCGTAACATGCTAGAAGAAGAAACAAGACACGATCACGCAATACGAAATTTGTGATCTGGCATGGCTTTTCCATGCGAGAAACCACATTTAGTTGTTTGAGCTAGAAAATTGCATGGATTTTATTTATTTTATGTTGAACCCGCCACTAATGTTCTTTTTCGGTGTACCTGCCCTGGAACACTTCCTTCGTGTATTATCATCTTATATCACATGATTCGAGATAAATTTACAAAATCATCTTTTACTTCATTATTTTCTCCATTTATGTTAAAATTAAAAAAAATAATATCTTCGATATAAATGTATCGTGCTTCAATTCTATATCGTTGTGGCGTTTCTAAGCCCTTCCTTTCGCCTCCAAGCAAAAATTTCCATGTTGTAAAAATCTGCAAACTGCTCAACCTAAAAAGCCAGTCTCATTGCGTTTCCTTACTAGCCTGCAATCGAATATTGATTCACATCTGCGCACTAAACACCATCTAAAACCAACAAGAAAAAACCAAAATGGCGACTACATCTGATTAGAAAATCCTACCTCACACATCGAATAGCTACGTTTCCTCATCTACGCTTTCAACTCCGATTCTTCGTATCTATATAACAGCCTTCTACCTACCAATCCTACTATTATGTGCAGTTTTATACTTCAACTATTTATTTTCGATTGCCACCAAAAATCCTGTTAGAGAGCCACGTTCTACGACACACAGAATGTTTTGTTTGATATAGCACACACATTTACCAAATCGAATATCAAAAGTGTCTACGACGCATGTGTTAACTGAAGCATCATTGCAAGCAAAAGAGTAGCTATCAAATGCAAACCTCTAGTACTGTTACTTCGCCGCAAGAGTAGAAGCGCACGGATGATGCTAACAGTAGAGACAATTCAGTTACACATTCATCGAGCCTATGTTCAACACCAACCAAAAAAAAAAATCATAAACCATATCTATCTGAGTAACTTATTTTGCTACGAACCACTATTCTGATCAATTCCACAGTAATCACATTCTACGAAACCGACGTATATCAGCGCAACGTCGACAACTACGCAAGGCACGCCACGCACACTCGTCGATTGAAAAGTTTGAACAGTAAAAATGAGCGAAGACAAGGGCACTAGGGTCTACGTCGGCAACCTCACCGATAAAGTGAAGAAGGAAGATCTCGAGGGAGAATTCACCAAGTACGGTAAATTGAACTCTGTTTGGGTAGCTTTCAATCCCCCAGGTTTTGCGTTCATTGAATTCGAAAACAAAGAGGAAGCCGAGTCGGCATGCGACAACTTGAACGGCCAGGATATCCTCGGTTCCAAGCTACGTGTTGAGATCTCCAAGGGCCGTCGTAATTCCCGTGGAGGCCCACGTGGTTTCCGTGGTCCACCAGGAGGGCGCTCCGGCAGTAGCGGCGGTTTCCGTTCCAGCTCTCGTGGTGGCTTCCGCGACGGAGGTGGCTACCGTAATGGAGGTAGCAGTGGAGGATTCCGTGGTGCAAGCCGTAGCGGAAGCCGGTTCGATAGCTACGGAAGCAGTCGCTCCAGCGGTGGATCTGGTGGCTACAGTCGTGATTCGGGTCGCGATAGCTACAGCAGTGGTGGCTTCGGAAGCGGCTATGGTGGCGGTCGAAGCAGCGGCGGCGGCGGTGGACGATTCCGATCAAGGTCACCGGTTGGCGCCCGTGGTAGATACTAAGTGTGTAGCATTTAAGCTGATTGAGCTGCTGTCTCTCGTTTTATGCGGCGTAGTATTTCCACTTGAAATAAAACGTCATATATAACTTTAAATATGGATGCAGTTGTTCATGCACGACCTTATTTATTTTACTGGAAACGATTTAATGTTTTCGTTCACTCTATGGCGATAGAGAATGGCACTTGAAAATTTCTCGTTAAAAAGCTATAGATGAGTTAGACCCCACTGAATGATCCACATTCAAATGCTCTTAGGACAATTGTTTAGACGATGCCAGTAATGTAACTTTTGCAAGGGAGCATATTTTGAGATTCGCCAAAAATGAAACTATTTTGTACTGTTTTATATGTGTTTTAATATATAAAATAGCTGAAGCAAACCCTAACAAAACCTGAACGACAAAAATGTCAAAATGACTAAATCGTTCGCCCTAAACTGAATTCATTAACTTTTGTGTTAATCCAAAACGTGTATAAATCGGCAAATAAAACATACTCATAGATGAAAACTACATGATTTAAAAAAAGAAATGGATGGAAACAAGTGAAACGACGCCAAATTTACTCCTGTTCGAAATTAAAGTCCAAACAAAGTGAACACGTGGTGCAATATCTTCTGAAGGAGAGAAACTTTAGAACGAGATTATCGCGATAACAGTTGAACAAGATCGATGTACCCTCGTCATATGCCTGGATAAGCAGATAGACAGACACACATACACATACAACACACATTTACATAATGTATGGTTGTTTTTACTGTGAGACTCCACACACCTTTCCTGACACATGCAAATGAAAACATTTTATCTGAGTTATGTTAAGAGAATAGATAAAAAAAAATAAATCCATATAATCACTTAATCTCGGTTTCGCATTAGTTTTGTTTTTAATTGATGACACCTTGACTGATAAATGAAAATCATTGTGTAATCGTTAATTTTTCATCATACAATTTACATTTTGTTTATAGCACATTATGTTTGGTAAATGTTTCAGGAACTATAGAAAAGGTAAGTATTCAATTCACTTTTCATGCAACTGCATTAGGTATTTGCATCCTTATTCGTACATCACTGCCCCCTTAGAATAGAAAAAAAAATGCACTGATAAAGATTTTTGCGCTAAGTTGCGCTTTGAAAGTTTTACATTCGAACTACACGCGACAAATGTTGTACCGTGTGAACAGGATCGCGTATTGAATATCACTCAAAAACGCGTAACGGTTGGGTTGGTGTCCCGGCTGTTTTACACATCTGAAAGCAGAGCGATGCGACTTTTTTCAACAAACGATTGATAGCCGCAACATTCTCAGCATTCAAGGGCAGCGACAAAATGTTTCTGCGGTCGGACATTCATGATGAGTTTCATATTGCAGATTAGCAATAATGTTGCAGCTACAAACTGATGCTGAAATATGTCTGTCCTCCGTATCACACCTCGTTTATAGAAGTAATATTTTCAAAGCCTATAGAATTGTACACTAGGTTGTTCCTTCTACGGCAAAGTTTCTCAGTTGACCTAGAGTCGGTGTATAATGAGTCACGCCAAGAGTGAAGCCAAGTCTACCTATTGAACCGTCAAACCGGCTACCTATTGGGCAAAGTAAACAAACATTACGATGCTATGAAAGGTCCACGAAAGGTATTGCAATAAAATATAAAATATAATCGAAGAAATGAGCATAAACACGCAGTGAGCATTAAATTTTCATGGGATACGTTCGGTAATGATCAGTAATGAGAATTTCTACTATTTTTTGTTAAGATAATTTGACAAAATCACTGATATAATGATTTACTACAGCCGCATTTTTTTTCTTTCGCTAGAAGTCATTTAATGTTGTTGTAGAAGTCCTTTGTTGCCAAGTGAAAAGAATGGGAATCTTCCGAAAACCGTGATGCGAGTTCAACTGTTTTTCTCTTGACGTGACTCATTATACACCGACTCTAAGTTGACCAAAATCTTTCAAGTGACCGATATCTTAGTTCAGATTTATTTTACGTGGCGCTAGTGTACATGTGCACTTGTTGTACATATTGCTATGAAAGCTATGTCATGAGATCATGGTCATCTAAGAATTTGCTGTCTTCGACAAAGTTGTTCAGGCACACATAGTCTTCGGGATGGTAAATCTAATTTTAATATATTTTTTGCGTTTCGGGTACATTCAAGACCTCTTCCGTAATCTTAACCGCATAAAATCAGAATTGAGTGTAGTTAATTGAACACTCGTAGGTCACTCGTAACTTGACCGGGATGAGATTTGAATTAGTGACTTTGGCGTGAGAGGTATGGATATTAATCACTACGCTGGGGTCGTTCCCAAGTGCGGGATGCTATAAAAGTATTCGCTATTCTGCTAAAATTCGTCGAAGTTTCAAAATATTGAAAACTTATCCAGGTTATAAGCATTGAGAAATGCTTTCATGTCGAGAATTTAAAAAATATCAAATATTAAAAAAAAAATCTGATCCTTTTATATAAGTCTGCAATGGTTCGCCAATAGTTAGTATTCATTGAATAGGAAAGCTAAAAATCCATGAAAAATGTGGAATGTCTGGGCTGATTCTAAGGAAATTCTAAAGAAAATTCAAAAGAGAACAGTTCCACATGGAAAGGAAAAACAGGCACAGAAAATGCTTCATGATCTGAGGTTACTAAACTTTTTTGAAAGAATCTTCTTGAGCTTCTCTGTTTTTTCTTCTTTGATTTGTTTTCCGCGCTGAGCACTAATGCTACAGACGCCAGGGAGGCAGCTCTCACACCTGGACCCTACATATCGACCCATCAACTAATGAACCGGGGACCAACGGCTTTACTCCCCTTCTAAAGGAAGGCGTGATCAGAGATGTTATGCCTCAGAACATCCCGGCGGCGCCGACTGTGATTGAACCCAGGCCTGATGGCGTGAGAGGTAATCACGCTTACCACTAAACCACCGGCGCCGCTAAACTTTTCTTATTTTCGCTAAATTTCCAGGAATCAGAAAAAAATACCTGCGTCGAGGATAAAAGTCCTGTAATTATTTACAGAATCAGTTCACTGGTCAAACAAGGGAGACGGTCAATCCGGGAGATTAGCGGGGGAAAAGAATCCGAGAAAAGCTCGTGAATTTCGATGAAAAAACGAGAAAAATAAGCTTCATTACATTTGCTGAAAAAATATATATTCTGGACCTTCCAAAATGGTTTATACCTTCAAGATGGCCTAGATTTTCGAGATACAGTAATTTTAAAGAACTATTAAGAATATACTGAAGAAAATTCTAAACGAGTTTTGAGGAGATTTTAGAATAAATTCTAGGTATACCACTTAAGTAATTTAGAAAAAAATTCAAAGAAAGTTTTGGAAAGACCTCTGATGGCGGTAAGCTCCAACTCGGATTAACTTTTAATATCGTCCCTGATTGGAGGATCTGCCAAATATTTGCTAAGGATCGTATTGATTAACATTGGTTTCGATAGCAAAACAGATTCGTGATCAGGTTTTAATCCGAGGATAATACCGATTGGAGCTTACCACTAAAAGGTAGGATTGATTATTACTCCAAGTCAATTGTACAAAGAGGTTCAATGTATTTTTTAGAAGAGTTAATAATTTGGTTTGTTTTTAAGGAAAATTCCATGACGATCCATACTGGTCTATTTTTAGTGAATATTCGAAATAAGTTCTGAAAACATGTTCTAGAGAGTTCTGATGACAATTCCAATGTAATTTCTAGTGAATTCTGAAGAGAGTTGCGAGGGCATGGCAAGAAAAATACCAAAGGAGTACCGTGGAGGCCCCACATATGACGCAGTTAAAAACATCTCAAGTTCAATGTTTAATTAATAATTTTTATTTCCTATAGTTTATTTGTTAAGCTCAAATATCCAACTGAACTCCACAGAGCCGAGAACCATTAAATAATGTTATAATTATATTCAAATATTAAGTGGTACATAGTTTATAAGTTCTTCTTATTCTTCTTTGGGGGCGACTTGAGTTTACCTTCCGCTTTCATCCCATGTTTCATCGGATTGTTTTTCCAACAGCAGCGCCCTTCTCGGTATACCTCACTATCCTGAATTTGCAGTAGAAATACGCATCATTTTTGCACTAGAAAACAGGTGGAAAAAATTTCTCGACCATTTATTGGCGAATCAAAGCAAAGCCAAAACTGGTCATGCGACACCTAGTTTTTAGCTCCGCATTCACAAAAATGATGATGTACTAAAAAAAAAGTGTCATGCAATTTGTCACATATCAAAACGTCATTAACATTTTCACCCACTCGCCTTTTGTGAGTCAATCGTCACTTTGATTCCTCAATAACGACATGAATGGTAAAGTTTACGTGAAGGAATGTCTGCAAAACAGATTACTACCCTTCATCAGGCAGCATGACAAACCTGCAATCTTTTGACCTGATCTTGCTTCCTGCCACTATTCAAAGGATTCGCTGAAGTGGTACAAGAAACATAAAGTCACATATGTGCCAAAAGAGGTGGGTGAATCCGCCAAATTGCCCTGAGACTCGCCCTATCGCTTAGGCAAAGCTTAGTTTTATTTAATTCACAATTGTATTTATAATTAACGGAACAGTCTATACTTCCACAGTTATTAATTGGGAGGCTTCAGGGGTTGAAACAGTTGACGTTTTTTTTACTACACTCGCTTCGTTCTCATGCGCGACAGTCTGTTTGTATTCGTACACTCATGCTCTACCGTCATCTCTCTCACACAATACAACCGGTAGAATAATATTCGAGCCAAAAGAAAATTATCAAATAACTATCATATGACATGAGTGACTTCCTTTAATTCCCCAATTTGGTGTAGATTAAGCCATTTCTTATCAGAAATGTTATTCCTAGGACATCATTGCTTGCTATTTTCAGAATTCACACCAGCACAACATGAAAAAAACTAAAATACATACATTCGTGACGGACTTCGGCGACAGTGTCGTATGACAGAGCCTGTCATATGACATTTCAGTTTGGTACTGTACTATGATAGCTTGTTTTGCAAGTGTCGGAGGCAAAGGCAGTCGATTATCACAGAAAATGTGTCGACTACCGGGATCGCTTACAAGACTGTCAGTGCCTATAGCATTTTTGCATTAGTAAAATTGTGTGGCAAGTAAAATCACACTCTACACCCGAAAAATTCCTAGACCGGACCGGGAATCAAAACCAGCCACCTCCAGCATGGTATTGCTTTATAGCTGTGCCTTTACCGACTGACCTAAGGGAGGCCCCAGGGACTGTATTATTTCTAAATATGGGTTCTTGATTTTTTTTCAACATCTGGGGATCTTTTAAATTTTTTAAAATCCCACAATCTGTCCTATATTGTTGGAAAAATTCCAATCCTGCTTTTTTTCCTTCTAAATCTAGGATTGATTTTTAAAAGCTACAAATCTAAAAAAATCATATTCTAAAACCAAACATATGCCAAAGCCTCAGAATCCTTATTAAAAATAAAACTTTTTGTACAGATCTCAATGGTATTAAAACATTTTCTTGCTCCGAGATCTTTGTATCAAGTTCAAGATTTCTAAAACAAATTCTTAATTTAACTCTCCAACCCAAAACGTCTGAGACTGAAAAAATGCTAAAATTATCATAACTTCATCATTTTTTATCAGATTTATTATCTATTCATCTAAAAAACCGCAAACTTCTCACGGTTTGATGGGCCTTTAAGCTTTAATTTGATTCGAAATGGGTTAGTTTTTTTTTTGTTGGAGGTTTGGAGTTAATTTCTATCTCAAAGATTCGGTAAAGTGACCTATTCAGACCGATAGCGTTCGACTTTCAAATCATTAGAGGACTTAAGGCTATCAAAGTTATTCAAACTGATTCTAAGTAAGGTAA